AGCAGTCCTAGAAGCGAAAAGAATACAATGAAAATAATTTACCGCTCAAGATACTCTGCCAAACAAAACACGATTGTTTCCAAGATGGAATTAGATACATTCTAAGCCAATTACTAAGGACAAACTCCCAGTGGCTACAAAGACACTTGAATAAAATTTGATATTTCCAGATAAATAAAGACCTGATTATGATCCGTTGAAAGTTTACATTAGACTAGCGTCCTTCACCGCAGCAGATGGCAAAAGAGAATTGGCTTTTACCCTTGAAAATGTAAACTCAAATTTCCTCTCATTCGCATTTGTTTGCTCATTCTTTTCTCAGTCGGTCTAAATTGAGATGGCCGCTGTCCTGAAGAATAAAGTCTTTGTTTTAACACACGTTTTTTAATATCATTTTAATAAACGTGCACAGCAGAAATGTCATTCACAGTGCCAAACAAGCTATCAGATAATCAAAATACCTCGATTTATTCCAAAGTTTCATAAAACTACACAACTTGAGACGCACAAACCGGTTGCTTTGGCTCTCAATAAATCTCTTAATTTCTCTCTCTTCCTCTTTATTCCCTTTTTTACCCGAGCAGTAAATTTAACAAAGCTATTTAATAGAAGATGGATCATTAGACAGGTAGTAATGATCCAGTTAAAGAGTTACGCTGGTCAAAATGTGTTGTTTCAACTTTATCTGATCATGAAACAACTTCAGTTTTTCTCATGTCAAACCATCTCTTATCCTTTTGCTGAAAGCGCACATTATTCTTTCTCAAAGACGGTGTATGAAACTTTTCAGTACAGATTTTATGACGCACAAAAAATGAAACCGAAGTTTTACCGTGGAATATGTGTTTTTTGATAAAATGTCCGCGCGCTTTGCGCAAAGCGTCTAAAATTGTCCAATTAATATTTGTAAAGAAAAAATAGAAAGTAGAGTAAATATAACATGATATCTGATTGCTTTCTAAAGATGTCATACCCACAATTTAAACCTGAAAAAAAGCGCAATTTAATTAGACTAAAACTGCTACATAATTGGCCATTTTCTTTGAATTGGTTTTTAATTCCGGCTTATTTTACAAAGACAGAAAGTGGTTTATTTACTTTAACTATTCACTTTCTGTTAAAAGGCGCATCTCCGGCGTCTAATAAGAAATAAATTGGATGTGAGTTTTATCCTCCGCTACATATTCGACACTTACCCTGAAACAATGCTAATGTTTTTCACCTGCACTGCATGTACTTCCCTACGATTTCCGTTCTTGAGGAAAGTATCTCTTTTGTATCTGACTAATAAACCTTACTGTTTTTGTTTTTTAATTTTATTTTTAATAGAATTTCCAGTTGTCCTTCTAAAGTTCAAATTTTACATGGGTGGAAAAATTAAGAAAACTACCTTCAATGTAGAGGGGATAGTCTCAAAGTTCATGCCGCGTTTTATGATTCTGTGAATTTGTTTGCTAGTGACCAGCAAACATAGATTTCGTGCAAACGAAAAAAAATATACCAATTGGCATCCGTTTACGGGACTTGTATACTGACAAAGGGAGATTCGCCGTTTCGTTTGGAAGCCATTAGTCAGTAAAACCACTGGCTGAAAATCAGTTTTTAGATATATGTTTCAAAGTTCTTTTTTTCTGCCAAAGGAAAAAGATAATTTTAGTTTTCGTCAAGTTTCCAAGAAAATAAATGAAATACGAGAACGTTTGGTTTATTTCTATCTTGGTCTTCGCAAATTTTCCACAGCATACAAATGCAATAAGATTGAGCTACTGTCGTTATCATTATTTTAACTTTTGCCGTGTCCTTGAAGCATCGTTGCTTTGTGTGACAAAAGACGCTGATTTAAAACAATTGCCAAAATCTAAGTGAACATATCCCTTTTTTTGAGAAGAACAAAGGATTAGATCTGCATTTGTTTCATATTTAGACAAACGATTTATTTCTTAAGGCCAATATCATTTTTCAGGTACTTCTTTACATCGCATATTTATTGAAATACATGAAGAATAGCTTTATTTTCTTCCAGTTTCATAACACGGGCCTCGATAATGATTGCAACAACTTTCATTTAAGGTCAGTTTAAAAACGATTGATGGCGTGAGCGGAATGAGAATGTAACATTCTATTCCAACCAAGTCAAAGAAAATAACTGAGTATAACAAATTACGCTACATGTAAGATACAAATGTTGATACTACACCTGATAAACAGTTGCGCAACGACACTTTTAAAGACCTTTGGGCTGCAGGACGATAACACTTTGAATTCAAAGTCCTCGAATTGTAGAACTGGTGCATTATACTGGCGGGAAATTTACCCTTACCGTCAGCAATATCCGACGAGTTTTTGCAAAAATCTTTTCCTGACATAAACTTGATACTTACACGTTAGCATTTTTTTAAACCTTTCCAATCACAAGAGGCTTACTTTGGTCCGATAATCACGACTGTCCAATTTTTGCTCCTCATAAAAGGGCTCAACAACAGTTCGCTAACAATCGCGTGTCCGAGGTCGAATTCATCCAATAATCTAAAGTCGAGATTAAATTGTTTAATTGTATTCTTTGATTATGATGGAAGGCCTCGAAACCAAGCGGCAGTTACCCGTCCCAGGTAACATATGAAGTTCCCCGACCGCCCCCCCTCCCACTTACCCTTCATCCAACCCCCCCTTACGGTTAAAGGATAAAATGTTGGGCCATTTTACAGCTGGTTATGTTATTTTCTTTCCGTTGCAGTCATAAGAAAAATTATTACGGTTGACTTTTTTCGACTAACGGTTGAATTTCTCAATTTTTACGCCTACCGGCTAAATTTTGTGGCTGTTTTACGGCTTACGGTCAACCTCATTGAGATCAGTTATCACTTTAAGATAGCGCTATGTACTTCTCATATACATTCATCGTATTGAAACTTCTACTGTCTCTCATTGATTCGATTCTTATCACATTTTGGACGGAGAAAGTAAAGAAACCCAATAGCTGGTCGATAATTAAAACAGGTTGCAGAAAGGAAGTTTAACCAACCGTATTTTAACTCAAGACATTCTTAATTAAATCATAAAAAAAGCCGTTTTATTGTATGGTACTGAGATCTGAATTTGAATGAGCAGGGTGTGTGTGCACAGCGATTTATCTTTAACAATCTTTTCAATTTTCAGCGGCAGAATACATATTTGATATTTGTACAACTGACACGATTTAAAAACAGTTAGCACGGACGCACGTGTCACCAAAACAAGAAGCCGCCAGGGCATAAAATGATTCGAAAAAAGAAAACGACAAAACTAGCGAACCGTTCTAGAGGATTTGATTTTTGAGTGTCATTTAGAAACTTTGATAGTGTTGGTCAGCAGAACTGCGAAATGATGTATATAATATGAGAGACGAAAGAGAACTTTCATTGCCTTGTTGGACATAGCACGTGGATAAATACGATGTTTCTGGGCGTCGGCTTCACAAAGTCAACTTTTTCGCACGGCTTTGTGAACACGCGTGAGTGCGCCTCGGACTTCAAGTGAAGATAAATTATCAATTGAGATTAAAACACCGACAATGAAGTACTACTTGCATTCTTTCTAAGTTGAAAAAGGGCAAGCGATCTAATATTTTACCTCTCAGAAAAAGGAACAACACAGACGTCTGGTCTTTTATTGCAAGCGAACCAGTGAGAGGTACAGAACTAATTATTTCTGAAAAGTACAAATTGTAAATCCTTTTAGGCGGTTGCGTCAGGTGATAGAAATGTTTCATAGTTGATCATTGGCTGTCAAGTGGTTTGGAAGTGTTAATCCTTTCGAGCGCGCCAGTTTGCACTGCAAATAGGAATACCCGGTAACACGAAAAGAATAATTTTACAGTGATCTTTCCCTTGTGATATTGAAATCAGTCTGTCGGGAACAGAGATAATAAACCTAACTTTCTGATGGTAAAAGCCGCAAAAGTGACAGAAAGTTCAAAAGATGGATCCTCAAAGAGTAAATTTATTCAATTTAATTACTATTATCAGAGCTTAAGCCTCTCTTAAGCCTAATATAAACAGAGTTCATATTTCAATGTTCGTGGTCATCCAAATCATCACTGAGTACAAAGAAAATATACAAAAATAAGTTCTTTTATTCGTGGCAGCTAAGTACGCAGAGGTTGAGAACTTTTACGAATTCTACTGCTGTTGATCTGCGCATAAAAGGACAAATGTCAGTTGATTAAAACCCGATTATCTTGGACTTAAGGGAAATCCGTTTTGCATGTTTTATTGTATATTTAGAGAATTATTTTGAGTGCGCTTTTCGAGTGCGCTTTTTTCGTGTATGTGTTTTGCCGAGGCAGCCTGGCGTGTAGTGTTATCGTAACTGAAGCTGCATTGTGTCCACACAAAAATCAAAGGAGTTTGGCGAACAAAACAAGTATATTCACAGCTAAACTCTGAAACAAAATTTCATAATAGCCATAAAACTTTTAGCGCATTCTTGACCCTTCGCACTCTAACGACAGTGCTTATATTCTCCAGACTGTTCTCTATACTTTTCCCATGATAATGCAGGAGAATATGTTTAGCGATCAAGAACTCTTTAGGTTGGTGATCATTTCCTTTCTTCTCATGACCTTTATGTGTGATTCAGAGGCGATACTGTTTGGAGAAATTAGATGCTGGTCACTCTTAGGTGTTTAAGGGTTCAGTTGTGAAACTCATGAATCATAACTTATCAACCCCATAAGTATCCTTGAATAGATGCTTAAATGAGCAAATACATTATGGTAAATGTTGAAGATTAAGTGACTTATTGAACAATGCTTAGATTTATATGTTATAGCAGGACTGATTGTACTTTGTATTCTGTTTGTTCTTTAGAAAATTTGTTCAAGCGTATTCGTTTGAGATTTGCAATTCAAAGATATTCTCTGACCTGTTGACATCGATTCAAGAAGCAAAATCCCGCTTTCAAAAATCCTTGCTCGAGAAAAGGGTTGGATGTTACAGTTACATCATTTGAACGTTCGAAACTGAACACAAATCAAAAATTTTACTTGAGTCAGTGTATTCCGTATTCATACAGTTTTAATGAAATGCACAACAACTTCAGTATCCTGAAAAAATCAGGCCATAAACACATGAACTGAAATCAATCTATTTTGATATGTTATAAGCACTGAAAATGAAGCTTGTTCCAACTTTGATTAACAGAGTGTGCGTTATTTAAATAGCTGCTACCAACAGGCTTTGTTCACCTACTTTTCGCTTTACTTCTGCAAGATAAAGTCAGAGAGATACTCAAATTACAATGTGACATGGTCAGTTCACTAACGTTCATAGCCAACTGTATAATCTTTGAAACCTAAACCATGTTTGTAAAGTGCACAATGAACGACTTATTTTTTAGGAATTATAAAGATAAAGTCATTGAATTTTTTCTTTGTTTGTTTGTTTTTTTTTTTATTCTATCTATTAGAAAGGTGTTTCCACCTGTTTGTGAATAGTGACAACAAGGCTCACAAAAAAATACTCTGAGGAACATTTTATCAACCAAAACCACTTGGGGATAAATTTGGAGGTCCACTGACTTTAAACGACGCGTGCGTCTAAAGGAATCTGTCCCTGAGGTCCTAGAGAACATTTCTTCCTCGGCCTTAGAAAGTTCTGATCGTGTCATGTTACTAATTCACAAGGTGTCGACTTACCTAGTGCCCAGTCCCACAAGTTCCGCGGACAAGCTGTTCTATTGTCTGGTGCGCCTTTGCCAGTACCTCATCAAATGAAGTCAAAAGTATCACGTTCTTTTCCGCAATGTATGCAAGCTCACGAGAATCTACATCGTTACCGACACCAATTGCTATGATATGAACACCTAAGGCCTGTAGACAGAAAACATGAACGAGAAATGGATAAATTTGTGTGGATGGAATCACACACATGTGGCTTGGACAGACTCGTATACACACAAGTGCTTAAGTGCTATGCCGAAGTCCCCTTTACAGCTGGTAATGAAAATGTGGTGAACGAAACCTTTTATTTATCAAGTTGATGACCTAAAGAAAGCCAATAACATAACTGTTCTGATCACATCTACAATAATGTTGTATGACAAAAGGAATGAAATAGAACTAGTTGTATGTCATGAAAAAATTATCTGAAATAGCATGAGTTAACGTGCTTGTCAGAATTATAACTTAAATTTTGTTGTCAACATAACCTCTGATATTTAGAACTAACGAAAGGGAAATCAAGGACTGTTCAAGAGGCAAAGAGTAATGCTTAAATTTTTACAGTATGACAAATAGCGTGAAGTTTACAAATAGCCGTGACAATATAGCCTACAATAGAATGTGAAGAGGAACTCGCATTGTTGATAAACCTACCCTCAGATATGAAGAGGGTTGTTTGACTGCCAGGCTTCCTCCGTGCGTTATTCCATCAGTCATAAGGATACATGTCCTGGGCACACCATGTCTGGGAGCCCCCTTAAATATCTTATCTTTCACCTCCTTCAAAGCCAGGTGTGTGAGTGTAGAACCTCCAGTGTATCGCATCTCACCAACCTTGTTTTTGACCCCATGTAGGGAGTACAAAACAGAGTCTTCTAAAGTTAGGTCAATGCACACATGATGATCGTACCTCAAAAGGGCGAATCTTCAACAAAAATAGAAAATTAGTATGAATAGCGTGTGAGAACAGAGCCGGAGACGCAATGGCCAGGTGATTGATTCGCTAAAAAGAGTTTGGAAAGAACATTCTAGGTTCAAACCGTGGGTGTGGGTCATTTTGTTGAGCTCTTCGGCAAGACACCGCA